TACAAGTGAACCAGACCAGAAACCCAGCTGAGTCAGGGCCCATAGGGAGCACAGATCCCCTTGCACGGTTCATAGCCTGGGACCCTTCTGTCCCCACAGTGTCAGCTACTTTGGGCTGGCTTGGAATAGGACAGCACAGGCCCCAGCAGGTGTACCCAGACATGCTGATACATGTACTCAATATACACCCCACTCACCCCACAGACAGTGCTGACACCAGTAGAGGTGGCCATTGAGGACATGCAGAAGAAGACGCGGGAGCTGGCCTTTGCCACCGAGCAGGACCCTCCAGATGCCAAGATGCTGCAGATGGTTCTGCAGGGCTCTGTGGGACCCACTGTGAACCAGGCATGGCTGGCATTTCGGGGGGGGTGCTGGCTGGCATTTCAGGGGGGAGGTGCTGGCTACCATGGACCTCCAGTTGCCGTTCAGGACCCTCATGTATCTTCTCACCCAGTAGGGTCCCTTGGAAGTGGCCCAGGTATTTTTGTCAGAGATCCCAGAAGATCCTAAGCTCTTCCGCCATCACAACAAACTACGGCTATGCTTCAAGGATTTCTGCAAAAAGTACACTGGCTATTATAGCCCTGCCATCCTGACTCCCTGCTGTGCCACCCCGACTCCATTATACCTGCCTGATTCCTGTTATACCCATCCTGACTCTGTTTAAATTCACAGAGCCCATTGTGGGTCTGTGCATGATTGCCCCCAGACCCCTCACACACGCACACCCTTAAGAATTCCCTGGCCCCTCTTCTTGCTCTCTCTTGAGTGCCAGTTCCCAGTGGCCTCCTCTTCACCCCTCAGGTGTGAGGATGCACTAAGAAAGAACAAGGCCCTGATTGGCCCAGACCAGAAGGAGTACCACCGGGAACTGGAACGGCACTACAGCCGCCTGCGGGAAGCTCTGCAGCCTCTCCTGACCCAGCGTCTGCCTCAGCTGCTGGCACCAAGTTCCAGCAGCCTCAGGTGCCCACCGCGGGGGCCGCCATGCATATACACACACACAATGGGCACTGTGTGTGGCGTCCAGACTGGGTCGTGAGACTTCATCTATCCTGCTTTTCTGTTATTGCATTTGACTTAGTGGAGTGGGCATGTCTGTGCCAGTGCATGTGTGGAGATCACAGGACAGAGTGCAGCCATTACTTCCCTTCTACTAAGTGGGTCCCAGGCTTTGAACTCAGGTCAGCAGGCTTGGTAGCAAGTGCCTTGCCCCACTGAACCATCTTGCCTACTCTCCCCGCCCATTCCTGTGATAGAAATTGACCCCTAGGCTTTACACTAGGTTAGTGCCCCACCACTGAGCCATGTCCCCAGCTTTCAGCTGGCCATCTGAGCCTCAGTTTCTACACCTGTGAAATAGACATGGTTCCAACAATCTGTGAATCTTCTGGTCAGGGAAAGTAAGACGGCTAAGTGGTGAAAGGTGCTTGCAGCCAAGCTTGAATACCTGGGTTCGAGTCCCCAGAAACCACATGGTAGAAGGAAAGACCCGGTTCTAGTAAGTTATCTTCTGATGTTTACATTTGTGTGCGTGCACCTGCAAGTGCACACACACACAGACACACACACATACAACACAGCACAAAAATAAATGTGACTTATTTAAAATAAAAAATTCTTTGCTCATATCAGGCTAGACAGAAGAGAATTTACACAGATTCTTTGGAAGGGTTGCGTGGTGTGGATGAGGAAGTTGGGGAAGACTACGGAGCTTGGGGATCCTATGGCCCTGCTAACCTGCCTTCTGCCCCCAGGAACTCCATGAACAGATCGAGTTTCAGGAAAGCCGACCTCTGACAACAAGGCTAAAAGCCACACCCGGAAGACCAGCACCCACACCTCAGCTGCCTGTGCCTTTCTGGAGTCTTACCTGCCCCTCATGCATGGGGTGACCAAAGTCCTTGGAGCTGGGCCCTCTGTCTGTCTGCACTGATGGATTCTAAGTTTTGTTTTTGTTTGTTTGTTTTTTTAATTTAAAGTGAGTTTTATATACAACCTGTGTGGTGTGCTGACAGTTGACAGGGTTCCTGCCCCAGGGACACTGACGCTCATTCAGTTGGAGAAAAGAATACACACAATGTAACATGTCCATGGGAAAGAGTGCTGTGTGTGTGTGCGCGCGTGTGTGGTCATGTGTGTACACCTGTGGTGAGGGTTTGCACGAGCAAGTGTGTAATGCACATGTATTCCTCATTCTCCACGTTTTGTTTACTTCACTTCCCAGGCTGGCCTTGAACTCATAAAAATCCATCCACCTTGGCCTTTTCTTACTAAGTGTTGGGATTTATAGGGTGTGCTGGGCCCCTCACCTCACTGTATTTTTTTCTTACATTTGCTTATTTGTGTCTGTATGTGTGTGGATGCACGCGTGTCTGCATGGCACACACGTGGAGGTCAGGGGACAGTTTGCAGAACTCAGTTCTCTCCTTCCACTGTGTGGACCCCAGGGATGGAACGCAGGCTTGACAGCAGATGAGCCTCTCCTTGGGCCTCCGCTTACTTTTTGAGACAGGTCTCACTGAACCTGGGGTTCGTAGCCCGTTCACTGGCCAGTAAGCTCCAGACATAGAGATCTGTCCAGCTCCCAGAATTGGGCTTACTGGTAATCATTAGGCCCAACTCTTTCTTCTTTTTGTTTTGTTTTGTTTGTTTTTGTTGTTTTTTCCAGACAGGGTTTCTCTGTGTAGCTCTGGCTGTCCTGGAACTCACTCTGTAGACCAGGCTGGCCTCGAACTCAGAAATCCGCCTGCCTCTGCCTCCTAAGTGCTGGGATTAAAGGCGTGCGCCACCACTGCCCGGCTGGGCCCAACTCTTATACTGGAATTCGAACTCAGGTCCTGGTTCACAGGGGCAAGCGATTTACCCACTGAGACATCGCCCCGGGTCACGAGTGCAAAGCGGCTTTTACAGTTGTTTTGTCTTTTAGTTTTTGAGACAGTCTCTCCTTGCCCAGAATCACTGTAGTAGAAGGTGGCCTCTCTAGTACTTACTTGATACTTGTCTTAGCCCCACATCTTTGATGTGCTGGGACTACAGGTGTGCAGCCCCGCTGTGAGGCTGTGAGAGTGGCTTCAGAAAGCCCTGAGTAAACAGAAGTTCAAATTTGGGCTAGGGTGTAGCTTAGCGGCAGAATGATTAGCATTCAGAGTCCTAGGGTCCATCCCCAACCCGCAAAATCAATAAACCACGCCCTGTGATTTGTGTCAGCTTGAGTAGTATGAAGGAAATTTTCTGAACACACTTTATCAGGTTAATCGACCCCATTTTGCTAATGGGGAAACTGAGGCCCAACTTCACTTTCAGGAGATGGGGGTGGTGGTGAAATGGGCTGCAATCTCGGAGCTTGGGCCGGCGGTCACGCCATGATGCACCCGGCCTGCAGCTGGAAGACTTCCAGCTGCCGGCGGCCAACGGGGGAGGGGTGACCTCCAGTCCCCGCCACCCGCACCCGCCCTGGAGCTGGGCCGCGGCCAGCTCCGCCCCCTGCAGCGCCCAGCTGCGAAGGGCGGGCACCAGGCTTGGAGAAAGGGGGGACCCTGTCCCGAAGGCTGGTGGCCAGGAGCCGACCGCGCCCCTAGGACGTGCTCGGGCCGCAGCGAGAGCGCGTGCACCCCCACGACCACCCTTCAACTTCGCCCCCAGTCCCCGCGGCCCAGGCGCCCGGGAGGCTGGAGGGGCGTGGCTTTCTGGTGTGGGCGTGGCTACCGCGCTGGCTCCGCAGGCTCGCGGCGACTGAGGCGGAGCGGCAGGACGCCTGGGACGGCGGAGGCTCGAGCGCGCCAGGCGAGTGGGGCGGAGGGCTGATGGGGCGACGTGGGGTCCGGGCTAGTCTAGGGGGACTATCGGGATTTCTAACCCACCTCCAACCCGAGGCTACAAGCTCGCTCACTCTGTCTTAGCTGGTCCCTCTTACCATCTGCGCCCAAACTTTGCAGACCGGGGCGTCTGGGTCCCCGCTCTCCTGTCCCCTCCCCAGCCCTGACCTGGGCCCTGCTTCCCTTGCCCCTAACCCACCTCTATCCCTTTATCATTCCCTGCCTCTCTTTCTCTGCTCCGCCTCTCTGGTCTAGCTCTGTCCCCTTCCCTGCCCGGGTCTCCGCTCCCGCAGCTCTTGGTGGCCGGACCAGGCCCCTCAGCGGCGGGAAGGTATCCGGGCGTCCGGCCGGGCTGGGCCTGGCTGCTGGGCGGGTGTGGGGGATCAGCAGATGTTTGCCATTAGACTGGGACCCCGCAGGCCCCGCCCCTCCCCGCCCGGGGCGGGGTCCTTCTCACCCCTAACTTTGGGGGCGGAGAGAGCGAGGCAAGAAAACCCCCAGTTTCACCCAGGCTGGTGGGGAGGTGCACTCTGGGGAGACCCTGTGGCCCTTCTCTGAAAACTCCCACCTGTTGAGTCTTCCAGCCTCCTTCCGCCTCTCTCATCCAGGGATCTTGTGGCGAGAGGGGCCTCCTCCGACTCCCGCCGCGGAGTTACCAGCCTGAGGTTAGATAACTGAAGACCCTTAAACCACAATCGCTCCGTCTAGAGAATAAGAAGTGTGGAGTCTAGGGGTGCCTTGGGCGATTCTGCCCCGTTTTAAGTTCAAGTCACAGAGATCTGCCTGCCTCTGCCTCCCAAGTGCCGGGATTAAAGGCGTGTGACACTACACCCACCTTGCAAGGTCTTCTCCCAAAAACATAAGCAGTGCTGGGAATGGAGGACGTGGACCTAGCGTGTTGAAACCTGGGGTTCCACCCCAGAATGTATAACTGGGTGTGGTGGTGCAGCCAGCAATCCCAGTACTTGGGAAGGGGAGGCAGGAGGATCAGGATTTCAAGGTCTTCCCCAGCTACATAGTGAGTTTGAAGCCAGCCTGGGCTACAGGAGACTCTGCCTCAAATAACAAAACAAAACTGTGTGGTAATTATTCATTTTATCCACTCCACCTCGGTGCCCCTACCCCAGGCTACTCCAGGTCTGCTCCCTACTTCTGTGTGTCCCTTAAGTCCTCAGAAAACATTTTGGACTTCCTGTCCTTGGAGGGACTGAGACTCCAGGCCGATGCAGAGCCAATTCTAACTACAGTGGGAACTGCATTTCAAGGTGTTCAAGCCAGCAAAGGCAGAGACGTGGAGAGACACAAGCTGGAGGGACAGAGATACAGAGGGGAACGTAGCCAGAGGGGAGGAATGTTCTAGGCCTGCCTTCATGCCCAGCAGGTGCCCCATCTGATCCACCCTCCCAGGTGCCCACTGCCAACATGCACAGCCTAGAATGGTCCACTCTAGAGAGTGAGATGGGTGGAGATGTCTGCAGCAAAGTGGCTGCAGGGCAGACAACAGAAAGGACCGACCTTGACTAATCTCCAGGGCTGAAGTGGGCTTAGCAAGAAGTCTTGATTCCACCCCACCCCCAGCAGCCTGTAGGCACCCCCCCTTTGCTTCCACCTCTGTGACTTTCCAGTCTTCCACCCCACTCTATCCCTACTATACCCACCCACCCCCAACCCAGACACATCCTGAGGGGGCAGGAAGTTCTATGTAGCTGGGCAGTGAAACTGTTTATTTTTAGAGAAAATTGTTTCCATAAAGAGGAAGGCTTTTCAGAGCTTGTATCCTTACTACTTTCCCGACCCTTCACTGGCCTGGCTGGCTCTTTGCTTTGAGGTCGCCAAGGGGTCCCACCTTCATGTTCTGACTCTTGTCCTCCTCTGGGATCCCCACTGGAGTGTCCCTAGTAGCACCCTAGCCCTCCATCCGGCCTTACCCACCCTGCTTGCTCTCCCTGTGCACTTTCTATGCTGGGCCAAGGGGAGGGGGCACAGGAAGGGTGGGTCCACCTGCCCTGGGGGCCATGTGGAGGCTGTGGGAACAGCTGGAGCCTGTCCAGGGCTGGACAGATGTGCACACAGTCGGGAGGTTTGGTTTCTTTGTTCTAGGGCTCTCTACAGCCAAGCGAGGGTAGGAGGAGAGCGTGGATATTCAAGTATATGCGAGGTGCCTGACCCGGATGGGGTACGGGGCGTCTGTGGAGGGCGGGTGGCCGCATCTCCTTCCTTCTCCCTGAAGATTGCCCTGCCAACCCCTCTGCAGGTCAGCCTCAGGCTGTTGGGGAGACTCAGTTTCCTGAGTGACATCTGAGGAGCAGCCACAGAGAGAGGATGGCCCAGGTCCTACATGTGCCCGCCCCATTCCCAGGTCAGGGGCTGATGGGTGGGAGAGGGAATGGGAAGGATGCCCTGACGGTCTGGGGCTGGGGGAGGCAGCCATAATATGAGGACCTGACGTGGGGGAACAGCTCTGACTGTGGGCCTGACAGGGAAGGACAGCTCTGTGACAGTCATGTGAGGGAGGGGACGGCCGTAATGTGAGGTCTGAGTGAGGAAAGGACACCTCTGTCCTTGGCATCAATGGGTGACATGACCAGACAAGACCTTGTTGATCAATGGTGGGCCACCAATGCTGGCAAAAGCCACCTGTGTCCCTGGGCTATCAGCTGGGCAGAAAGGGGCATACTTAAAGGCCTCGGCTTTCCCCAACTCCAGGAACCCCTGGCCAGGCCACCCCAGCAGCCTTCCCCAGCAAGGAGCCAGACCCGCCATACTCAGTGGAGACGCCCTATGGCTACCGCCTGGACCTGGACTTTCTTAAGTACGTGGATGACATTGAGAAGGGCCACACATTGCGCAGGGTGGCGGTGCAGCGCCGGCCACGCCTGGGCTCCCTGCCACGGGGCCCGGGCTCCTGGTGGACGTCCACAGAATCGCTGTGCTCTGACGCCAGTGGGGACAGCCGGCACTCGGCCTACTCCTACTGTGGCCGCGGCTTCTACCCACAGTACGGAGCCTTGGAGACCTGCAGCGGCTCCAACCCACGCGTGGAGCGCACGCTGCTGGATGCGCGGCGCCGGCTGGAGGACCAGGCGGCTGCCCCATCATCGGGTGGCCTGGGCTCCTTGACGCCCAGCGCCGCAGGCTCCACCAGCTCCCTGGCAGGTGTGGGCCTGCTGCCCCCCACACCTCGCAGCTCCGGCCTGTCCACCCCGGTGGCACCCAGCGCTGGTCACCTGGCCCACGTTCGTGAACAGATGGCCGGGGCCCTTCGCAAGCTGCGCCAGCTGGAGGAGCAGGTCAAGCTGATTCCCGTGCTCCAGGTCAAGCTGTCGGTGCTCCAGGAGGAGAAGAGACAGCTCACAGTGCAGCTCAAGAGCCAGAAATTTCTAGGTCACCCCTCAGGGACACGGAGCCGGAGCGAGCTCTGCCTGGACCTTCCGGAGGCCCCCGATGACCCTGCTGCGCCAGAGACCCGCTCGGTGGGCACCTGGGTTCGAGAACGGGACTTGGGCATTCCAGATGGTGAAGCTGCCCTGGTGGCTAAGGTGGCCGTGTTGGAGACCCAGCTCAAAAAAGCGCTTCAGGAGCTGCGGGCGGCTCAGACCCAGCAGGTAGATCTTCAGCCTCAGGCCTGGCCGCCACCAGAAACCCAGGTCCGCGTGGACACTGTGCGAGTAGTGGAGGGTCCCCGGGAAGTGGAGGTGGCAGCCAGCACTGCAGCAGGGACCCCTGCACAGCGAGCTCAGAGTCTGGAACCCTACGGAACAGGGCTGAAGGCCCTGGCCACATCTGGGGGGACAGAGAACACCCACGTGTTCCGAAGTCATGAGGTGGTGGAAACCATGTGCCCGCTGCCCGCTGCTACCACCAGCAACGTGCACACAGCCAAGAAGATCAGTATTACAGAACGGAGTTGCGTTGGTGCAGCCAGGATGGCAGGTGAGTGGTGTAATCTGGGGGGGCCCAATAGCACTCCCTCCTCATCCTAACCTTCAGCCAAACAGGTGGCCCCAACCTATCAAAGTGAGAGGATTCCAAGATGGACCTCGGAGTTGTAGGCATTGGGCAGAGAAATTTGGTGTTTTGGGCCTGGGGAGATGGCCCAGTTGGTATAGCGCTTGCTGTACAAGAACCTGAATTATGATCTGGCACCCATGTGAAAACAAAGCCATGTGGATTCGTCCCCATCACAGGGAGACAGAGGCAGGAAGGTAATGGGGGCCAGATAGACTAGGTTATTTGGTGAGTTCTAGCCTGTGATGGACCTTGTCTGAGACAACAAGACAGCCCGGTGAGATGGCTCGGTGGGTCAGGGCACCTTGGAGCCCAGCCAGATGAGCTGCGTTCTATCCCTGGAGTCCACATGGTAGGAGAGCACAACTCACTCTTGCAGGCTGTCCTCCGAGTGCCACAGCTGTGCCGAGGATCTGTGTGCCCTGGCCACATAAACGAATCATAACGTTTTATAAGGTAGGCAGTACCTTGAGGAACACCATCTGTTTACCTCTGGCCTAAACACATATGCACATAGCACACACACAGGAACACACACATGCATACAAACACATTCACACTCATGTGCACATACGTACACTCCTGCCTGCCGTACACGGATATGCATATGCATATGCATGCACACTCACACATACACGCACAAAGAAATTGAACATCTAGCATACTGCCTTGTGATGAAGTATAAAAACTCCAGAGAACATGAGTTGTTTAGAGGAGGTTCTTCAAGGTTGTTGGTTTCATAGTAAGTTCCCTCTTTTGAATTAAGAACTGGCAGAGATCAGCTGGGCAGTGGTGGCACACGCCTTTAATCCCAGCACTTGGAAGGCAGAGGCAGGCAGATTTCTGAGTTCAAGGCCAGCCTGGTCTACAGAGTTCCAGGACAGCCAGGGCTATACAGAGTAACCCTGTCTCGAAAAACAAAACAAAAGAAAAGAAAAGAACTGGCAGAGATCAAGACAGTAGATAGAGTGTCTTGTTCATGTTCCTGAGGGACAGCCTCGGGCATGGCTGGATCCAGGTGCTCAGGCGTTATGTGGCATCTCTAAGTCACTGTACAGTGGGACCTTCAGATGGATGAATCTGGAAGTGAGGTGTTCTCTCCTCTCCACAGATCTGCTTAGGTAACATTACACCAGATAAAAATCCCAGGAATGGCCCTCAGTGGCAGACCCAACCATTGAGCCTTGAAGGCCAAAGAGACCCTACCGAAGCCCAGTGGCCTTCGGAAGAGGAATTGGGGGTGTGCCCAGAGGAAGTGCTGAGTCCTCATGCCAGGAAAGGCTGGATACAGATCACCAGCTGCCCAGAAGCTGCCAGAATGATTCATAAGATTAGTGACAGCTGTTCTGTCTTGGGACAGGCCAAGGGGTGCCAGCTGCTGCACTAAGTGTGTCACCAAGGGGGCCTGAGGAAGATGGGCCCACAGCCAGATACCTCGGTTTCCATCACTGTGTGACCTCAGCTGAATGACACCACCTCTCTGGGCCTCCATTTTCTTCCCTGTGACTTGCTCTAAAACAGATACAGCCTACAGCTCTGGAAGCATATAGTTCTGGAGCGAATGCATACAGTAAGCGCTCAAGCAGTGCTGCTTGCTGTTTCTGCTGACACCAGGTTGACCTGATTTGTTTCCTTTAGGTTGCTTGGTTTAAGTTTTCTTTTCCTTTTGGGGTATGTGGCATTTGAGACAGTCTTGCTGTGTCATGAGGTCCACCCTTGAGCCCTTCCCTTCCCTTTTCTCTCCATCTCTCCGATGAGTACTGTCTATCAGGAGACCTTGGCTGGCTTAGCCTTGAACCCTCAATCCTCCTGCTTCAGCCCCAAGCAGCTGGGATTACAGAGTGTTTAATCCATGCCCGACTTCAACTCTGCTTATAGTTGGGGAAACTGAGGCTTAGTATCAGGAATCACTGTGCCAGAGTCTGCACCTAGGAACCCTGCATCTCACCCCCAGATCCAGGTCACGCTGGCCGGAGCCCTGCTGACTCTAACGAGCCGGCTGCAGGGCGAGGGCCCAGCTGTGTTTCCTTGCTTCCCTGTTCCTGGCCAGCTACGGAAACCACCCCTCTGTTCCATGTCCATCCAAACACCCAGCCCTGAGGTTCTGGCCCCCGGCCAGGGGTCCGCCCAGCACAGCCTTGGAATCTTTGAGAAGCACCCTCCATTCCAGACATGCCTCTCAGGGCAGTCATGGGGCCTTCTACTCACAGGACATAGAGGCAAAGCTATGTTCACTGCCTGTGAAAGTCCTCCCTCATATCTCACTGCACTCCCTGTTGCTGTATCTTGGCCTCACTTAGATGGAGCTGGAGTATATTCATTTGTTTCATCTTGTTCAACGGATGCTTAGTGCTTATTGTCACAGGTTCTGAGAACACAGCAAGAGATCATACTTACCAGTGTCCCTGCTCAGGGCCTGTGAGATGGCCCAGCAGGTAAAGGTGCTTGCTGCCAACCAAGTCTGATCTCAGACACACATTTTGTTTGTTTATTTTTTGGGACAGGGTCTCACTGTATATCACTGGTTGGCCTGGAACTTACCAAGGAGACCAGGCTGGCCTCCAGTTCACCTGCCTCTGACTCTCGAATTCTGGGATTGAAGGTGCACACCACCATGCCTTCCCCCGAGACTCACATATTGGAAAGAAGCAACCCCACACACAAGCTGTCCTCTGCTCTTCACACAGGCACTAAGCCACGGCACACACCCTTCCCCCACTAAGTAAATAAATACATAAATAAATGTACTTTTATTTTTAGAGACAGGGTCTCATATGTAGACCAGGCTACCCTCAGATTTATAGAGTTCCACCTGACTCTGGAGTATTAGAATTAAAGATGTGTGCACCAGCATGCCCAGAAGTAAGTGTAATTAAAAGAAAAAAAAACAACTTCAGAAAATATATGAGAGACCAAGTATCCACATGAGAAATATGTGTTCAGATCAAAACTGAGGGGAACGGGGCAGGGCTGGTGACAGTTCCCTGGGGACATGGCCGCCCTGTGCCTTGTAATCTTGAGCATGCTTTTCCAACTCTGTGTGGTCTACTCCCATAGCACCCGAACCTCCTCAAACTGCAGCACTCTCCTGTAAATTGGGTGCCCTGACAGATCATTGTGCTGGAGTGTGGCCCCCTTGATAGAGGCCCTGCCTAGACTCCCCCAGTGAGGGGCTGAGGGTGGCCCAGTGGTGGAGCAGTGTCTAGTCCTGTGAAGGCCTAGGGTCTGGCCCTGGCACTGAAGCCCATTGTGTAGTCTGGCTGTGGACGCTCCCAGTCAGCTCTAGGCTCTGTACTGTTTGTTGACTGAATATATTCTGGTGTGGTAGCACAAGCTTACAAGCCCAGCACTCAAGAAGCTGAAACGGGGATCACCTCAGCTTCAAGGCCAGCCTGGGCTTCAGAGAGAGTCTCAAAACAACAAATGCTAAGATAGGAGGTAATGGAGCTGGCAAAGCCTCGTGGGCAGAGAAGCGATGGGAGGCTCCAGGCCAGGGCACAGCCCAGGATCAAGGCCCTGGGGTCAAGAAGAACTTGGGCTGATGAATGATCTAGAAGGTAGAGGGTGGGCTGGAGAGATGGCTCAGTGGTTAACAGCCCTGACTGACTGCTCTTGCAAAGGTCCTGAGTTCAATTCCCAGCAACCACATGGTGGCTCACAGCCATCTGTAATGGGATCTGATGCCCTCTTCTGGTGTGTCTAAAGAGAGTGACAGTGTATTCACATACATAAAATAAATAAATAATAAATCTTTTTTAAAAGAAAAAGAAAAAAAGGTAGAGGGCAAAGAGTGAGGTGCTGGGGGAATCTAAGCACCCAAGAGTGAGTGCCACAGACTCCTGAGCTGGGGCAGTGCAGTGTTGGAAACGAACTATGATGGTGTTCGGCTGACGGCATCACATCATGTCTGCGGAGGTTGGTAGGCCTGATGGTATATCATGGAGCACTCCTTGGAGGAAGAGGCAGGGGAAGTGACCTCTTTAGCATCTAGTGAGAGCTATGTTTCTAAGCAGGACAGGAATTTACTTTCTCCAGCTGAAGAGTTGGGGAAGCCCCCACCTCCACAAACACACACATGCCCAGGCTTGAAAGAGGTAGGCAAGGTGGACTGAAAGACTTGTAGTCCTGTACACACACACACAACAACAACATGCACAAACAAATCTTACAGCCAAGTGTGGTGGCAACACTCCTTTAATCAGAGTGACAATTAGGTCTTTAAGTTTGAGGCCAGCCTGGTCTACATAGTGAGCTCCAGAACAGCCAAGGCTGTGGCTCAAGCAAGACCCAGACTCAAGCAACAAAAAAGTAATTTATTGTCTTTGTAGAACTGGAAAGTACAGAAAAATCTAGAATACCAGAAACCTAGGTGTAGCTGCTTTCTAGATTTTTGTTTGTTCTGTTTTGCTGAGATAGGGTCCCCCTCTAGTCCAGGCTAGCCTGGAACTCATGGTCATGCTGCAGCCTTAGCTTCTGTGAGTGTTGGGATTGCAGACGTATATAACCAGCACAGCTCCTGCCCTTGGCTTCCATGCCCCACACATGCCAGGCCAGCATTCCACCTCGGGCCATGCTCTAAATTACTTTAAACTAAATACTTTTAAATTACTTTTAAACTAAATTACTTTAGTGTTTCAGGTAGCCCAAGATAACCTTGAACTCCTAATCCCCAGTCCTCTTCCCCTTGAGTGCTGGGTACAGGAGCGAGCCACCATGCCTGCTTTATAGGCTGCCAGGGATGGTTCCACAGCCTGCAGCAGCTCACACATGTTCTCCCACCCCAGCTTCAGTCCTTTGTTCATTTTGTAGCCCAGGCTGCTCTTGTTGCCTTTCCTCTATCTGGCTTGCCCAAACTGGGCCCTCAGGCTTGAGCCACCATAGCCAGCCCGAATTTTTCAAATGCATAAAAGAAAAGTATGTTTTTA